ACACTCACTCACACATTAACACACACGCTCACTAACACACTCACTAACATGCTCTCTAACACATATTAACCAATACACACTCACTCACTGACACTCACTAACATAATCTTACTCACAGACTCATGAACACACTAGCTCACACTCACACACTCAGTGACTAAATCACTCAATCATTAACACACACTCACTAACTCACTAACACACACTCACTCCTTAACATACTCACTAAAACACACTCACTAACACATTACCACACACTCTTAAACACACACAGTCACTGACTAACACACTCATTCACTCATGAAAATAATCATTCACGAACGGAATCATTGACTCACTTACATACTCACTCACTAACATAAACATGCTCAGATATTGCACATTCGCTGACACACAGATACAGCAACCCTATAAACATGCCAATAGAGCACCGCTCTCCAACACTCAAGTACAGCACAAGCACTGATACACTGATATAACACTGTCACTGACACAAACTGATACAGCACATTCTCAGAACCACCAAACTAGTTAACACACACTAATACACTCTCACAGATACAGCACAGACTTGCTAACACTACTGCACACCACCACACCTCTCAGATACAACGCACCCATTAACACACTCAAACTACAACACACTCATAGATACAGCAACATATATGGGGCTAAAGGGACTGGAAACTGCAACAGCTATGGGTCCTGACAATATTCCAGTATTAGCACTGAAGACTTATGTTCCAGAACTAGCTGGTCTCCTAGCCAAGCTGTTCCAGTACAGGAATTGGCATCTACCCTACATTGTGGAAGATTGCCCATGTATGTCCTATTCACAACAGGAGGATAAATCCAACCCAACCAATTACGGCTCTGCCAGTCTGCTTTGGATCATCAGCAAAAATGATGGAAGGGCTAATCAACAGTGTTATCAAGCAGCACCTGTTTATCAATGACCTGCTCACTGTCCTAGTTAAGATTCCATCAGGACCACACAGTCTTGGTTCAAACATGGACAAAAGAGCTGAGTCCTAGAGATGTGGTGAGAGTGACTGCCTGTGATATGAAGGCAGTATTTGAGTGAGTGTTTTATCAAGAAGCCTTAGCAAAACAAGGGGAATCGGGGAGAAAACTCGCTGCTGGTTAAAGTCATACTCAGCACAAAAGAAGATTGCTGTGGTTGTTGGAGGTCAATCATCTCAGATCCAGGATACGTCTGCAGACTCAGGGTAGTGTCCTAGACCCAACCATCTTCAACTGCTTCACTGACCTTTCCTCCATCATAAAATCAGAAATGGAGATGTTCACTGATGTTTCCACAATATACAGCAACATTTGCGACTCTTTAGATATTGAAGCATTCTGTGTCCAAATGCAGCAAGACCCAGACAACATCCAGGCTTAGCCTGACAAGTGACATTTGCACCACACAAGTGCCAGACAAAGCCAATTCACATTCAGTGGCATTACCATCGCTGAATCCCACACAATCAATA